CTGGTGGGTGTGACGCCTACCTACTGGGAGATGGGAGGTAAGCCCAGACATTCTCCGATCTGGTGTAAGATCTGGATGTGATGCTATGTTTGAGGGGAGCGGGGATTCGGGGGTTGGTTGATTTGCTGAGAGTGGACGTGGGAATTTACTCTGTAAGGGTTTCACCCGGTTAAGAGAGAAATAATGAGAAAGAAAGGTCTGTCCTGGGGGAAGGAAGTGGGGGATGGAGCAAAGAAAGGAAGAAGAGGAGAAAGAAGGGAAGGAAGGTGGGAAAGGAAGGAGAGATGGAGGGGAGGAAGAAAGGAGGGGAACCAAGGGAAGGGAGGGAGGAAGAGAAGGAGGGACAGTGTAAAGTCCAGAAAGAAGATGGGAGGGGAAGATGGAAGGAAGAATATGGAAGAAAGAGAAAAGGAAGGGAGAAAGGAGGAGGAAGGAAGGATGGGGGAGGGAAGAGGAAGGATGGGAGGGAGGGAAGGAGGAAGGAAGGATGGAAGGGAGGGAAAGAGAAAGGATGGAAGGGAGGGAAGTAGGAGTGAAGGATGGGAAGGAGGGAAGGAGAAAGGAAGGACAGGAGGGAGGGAAAGAAGGATATAATCAAGGGAAGGAGGATAAGAGGAAGGAAGGATGTGAAGGAGGGAAAGGAAAGATGGGAGGAAGAAAAAGGAGGGAAGAAAGAAGAATATAATGAAGGGAGAGAGTATAAGAGGAAGGAAGGATGAGAGGGAGGGAAAGGTGAGGGAAAGAGAGAGGGATGATAAGAGGAAGGAAGGGTGTGAAGGAGGGAAAAAAGAACGAAGGATGGGAGGGAGGGAAGGAGAGATGGGAGGAAGAGAGAGGAAAAATAGAAGGGAGGGAAAGTGGAAGGAAGGATGGGAGGGTTAGAGAAAGAAGAATGGGAAGGATGGAAGGAGAAAGGAAGGAAAGGATGGAGGGAAAGAAGGATATAATGAAGGGAGAGAGTATAAGAGGAAGGAAGGATGTGAAGGAGGGATAGAGGAATGAACGAAGGATTGGAGGGAAAGAGGAAAGATGGGAGGAAGAGAAAGGAAGGATAGAAGAAAAGACAAGTGGAAGGAAGGATGGCAGGGAGGGTAAGAGAAAGGAGGAATGGGAAGGAAAAGGAAGGAAGGATGGGAGGGAGGGAGGGAAAAAAGGAAAGAAGGGAGGAAATCGGAAAGCGTGTGTGTCAGGAAAGCCCCTTCCTTCCCCTCCGATCACCCTCGGGGCCTGTGGTTTCACACAGGTGGTACATGATGACCAAACGCAAAATGCCCCAGGCACTCTCACCACCAGGGCATCCACATCTTGGGCAATCCCAGCCCTGGGCGGAGACATTCCTGTCAGCCAGCGTGCTTCAGGGCTGCGTAAGTCATAAGATACCCTACATAAAAAAGGTGTAGACTAAGCTCCATAAGAAGTATAATAAGTTAAGAGCATAGTCATGGAATAAACCCTGACATGACCATTAAAAAAGTGACTGAATAAGGACCCTGCTGGGGATAGAAAAAACTAACCTGGCCTGAAGACTGTCATCTGGGATATATAGCGAGGTATCCCCAGGAAGAGCTACCCTTTAAGCTTACTATATCATTCATTGTGTCCATACAAAATGGATTAGAAATAACATTAAGTAAATTTAATATGTTTGTTTAAATGATTACTAGCAATGGAACAGAAAAGCAGTATTTTCTTAGATGAAATTCCACCCTTGGGCTGATCTCCTTAATAGGAATCTAGAATGCTGGACCCCCTAGATGAAATTTTGTCCTTGGGTGAATCTCCTAGAAAAACTTACCCTGAAGGAAGGGTTGTTCATTGTTTATGATAGTGTTTAACCACACCTAAGGGTAATTGCTATCCCCAACCCTTCACAATTTCTCAATAGCAAATGCTGTGAGACTTGAATAAATGGCCACTGATTACCAACCAGTCTGCTGGTAATCAGTTGGCCTCTGTTCCTTGTTCATCTGTCAGCGGCGGAGGGGAGGGGAAGGATGGTGAATGATCCTGAACACAACAGGGGATTCTGGTCACTGCAGGTCAGTGACCCCCGAACAACCACAATGTATCTACTCTTACATGCAATGTAGTTTCACTGATTCACTGATCTGAAAATCATCTAAGTTTCACCAACTCATACCTTCTTAGTCTCTAACCCCTGCCAACCATTGATATTTATATTTTCTTTGTAGTCTTGCCTTTTCAGAAATGTCACATAATTACTGAGTTAGATAATAATGACTAATTCCTAATTTAAAATCAAAGACCTATTTTCCCTTATTCTAGCTATCAAACAGCTAGAATTCTTTAGTTTCTTAAGCTTAACTTTAAAAATTGGCCATTCCTAACTTACAAATTTCTATGAGCCTCTAGAATATTAGTAAAGGTTTTTAATATAGAATAAGTAAGTAATGTAAGTTAAAGATAGAAATTAATAAGAAGTCCATCTATATTTTAAATAATAAATATTAGAAATTAATTTATAAAGTCAAATTATTTTATAAAACCAATGTTTGCTTTCATTTGTGGGATATTTAAAAATATCATAATGTGAGACTAATACTCCAGGACAGTAGAAACAAGGGCCATTAGGATTGGTCCACGATTGGAAACCTGTTTCAAATGCTGGGGGAGAAGGCAGTTGGGATAGAGAAGGGACCACTATGATAAAGTTGGAAATGATCACTCTGGATAAGAACTGTGTGCTGAAAATAGGTAAAGGAACAAACATAATATCTCTCAGTACCTGTACTGCAAAATTTAATGCCCCAAAAGAGAGAGAGAGAGAGAGAGAGAGAGAGAGAGAGAGAAAAGGAGAGAGAGAGAGAGAGAGAGAGAGAAGAGAGAGAGGGAGAGGAAAAGGGAGAGGGAGAGAAGGGGGGAAGGTGGGGAGAGAGACAGAGACAGAGACCCAGTGAGAGTGCCTGGCACAGAGACAGGCTGGGGGATGGGAGGGAAATTGGGGACATTGGTATTGGTGGGAAATGTACATTGTACACTGTACACTGGTGGAGGGTTGTAACACTGAACCCAATCATGAACACCTTTGTACCTGTGTATCTCACAATGATTCAATAAAAACAAACTACCAATTAATCGCTTCCAAATTTGCAAATAAAGAATACACTCACACTTGGAGAATAATATTTATTGCCCACTTTATTGAAAATCAAGAAGATATAATTAATGGCAAACTATGAAGAGAGTGAATCAAAAAAACAGAGCTTCACAGCCAACAGCAGAATTATAAATTAACAACCTTCATATTTTGTTTTTCCATCACAACTCTCAAATATTATAACAGAGACTGAGAGCATTACTAGACCTTAACAGGACAGTAAAGTGCACGAAATCCTCATTTAATAGTCCAATGAATTCCTTACTATTTTTCTTGTCTTGCAGGCAAAAAGATTAGATGTGTTTGGTTTTGTTATTTTTGTCTGTAATAGACATAAATAAACTTTGGTTTAAGAAAAATAAGGAATGTTATGGGAAGCACCCTGGAGTGTCCTATAAGATGCCAGCAAAAGTATTTGAGTCATAGGAAAGGATCAGGCAATTCTGGGGAATTCACAGCAGAGACTTGACAGTCTTCTTTTGTGTCACTAACATGAGTATGACTCACTTAATGGGACAAGGTGTTTATCTCCTGCAAAATTTTAGGTTTCTTTAGAAAGTCTCAGGTCAAGAACTCAATTAGAGAGACAGGTCATAGGACAGAGACATAGTTAAATGGCGTCTCCCTTTGTATGTAGTGCCCATGTCAAAGAATGGGAATGTGCCAGGCACCCCATTCAGAATGTTAAATTTCTGTTACATTTCTCAATGCAGGCAAAAGGAGTTTGGTTAAACTGACTATTTTTCGTCATAAGTCATATTTGGAAAGTGCTCTACCATTTCCTTGAGTATCAAATTTGAAATACTAGAATAAAGTTTGTACACCAATGAAATAATAAATGATAAATCATTGGATGTTCTTATATATACAAGATAAAGAAATTGTTTGAGCAAGAGAAGCATTCTGTGACTTCCCAGAGTGTCCTGATTCTTCTCTATGACTCAAATACTAATTTTGCTGGCAACATTTCCATCAGCAGTATATAAGAGTTTTTTTTCTGTTATTTGTGATAACATAGATTGTTTCCATTATTTATATAATACTGACAGAGTTGAACATGTGGATAATAAATCATTGGTAATAAATGGTTAAAGGGCAGGGGCAAGAGTGAAATTGATTTAAGTATATAAGCACAACTTAAAGAATCCATATAAGATGGAGATTTTTGAATTTTGACATCAAATTTTAGTATCCTGGTTTTGATATTTATTATTTGGTGAAAAAGGACTTACAAGTGATGTTCAAGGAACCTAGGGACAACTCCAGGATACAGCCAATAAAGACATTTGATTGAAGGCTCATATCTTGCAATATTGGGGACCACCAGACACTCTGACAGTGCTCTGAGGAATCCAGTGTCACACCCAGCAGGGACTTGGGAGTCATGTATGAAGAGTAAAACCAAGATTAGCTTAATAAGCCCTAGTCCCCTGTACTTTCTCCTCAGCACTGATTATGATATTATTCTATAATTTTATAGGATGTTATTAGTGGAGGAACTGGTTAATATGTACATAGGATTTCTATACTTTTTCGTTTGCTGCATGTGAATCTTTAATTATCTCAAAATTTAAGAAGTATATTTAAAAGAGCAGGCCAGCCAGGTAGTTATTTAACTGAGGGAATTATTGCGTACAAATTAAATTTTTATAGCCTTAGAGTTAATTTAGGTAAGTAATTTAAGGAAAAGTTACACCTTTCTGGTATCTTACAATTTTTTAATCGTTGTAAAATATGCATCAAAGATTTACTATTTTTTTATTAAGTATGTCAATAACATGAAGTACATTCTCATTGTTATTCATTCATCACCAACACCAGTCTCCAGAACTTTTCATTATCTAAACTGAAATTTGATACGTTAAACTATAACTGAATTTTCCCAAATACTGTACGCTTCACCAATTTTCACATCATTCTAGTGAAATGGTTATGCTAATCTCTGTATTGTTCCAATTTTAGTATGTGTGCTGCAAAGTAAGGGACTGAATTTGTTCTTTTTCTTGGCTAGTTTTTCTACCTTCACATGATACTATCTTGATGGTAACACAAAAACATCATTTCTGGAAGCTCTATGATTTGCTCGACATATAGTGATTAACAGAGGCTATTTTCTGATATGATTCTTTTCTCTTGAAGCAATTTTGCAGCTATTTTGAAGATTATAATTATAAGTAAATTGACTGATATTGAAGGTCTCCATCTCATGTTCTTTTTTTTGTTTGTTTGCTCAGTGAAACATATCATTGGTAGCCAGGGATGCTCATTTTATTTACCCTATAAATTTATGGGCTATAAATTTTACAAAACTGAAGAATTTCTGAGGGAAACTATATGTTTCATAATTTGATCATCTATTTTGATAAGTTAGTTTCATAATCTTTGATCCTCTTATTTTCTTCAAATGCATTAAATTATAAATTTTGTACTTTTAAATGTTTTGTTCATATAGAGTTTCCTTTCAAATTCATATTGCTTGAACTCTGAAACAATTCAGTAGACTGTGTTGTTTAATTTCTCCAGTTCAACTAGGTAGGCATTTTAAAATATTGTGTCAGGTATTACAACAAACTCCTCTGATATTAAAATAATTTGAGGGCTTAAAATTTTACTTTGGATATTGGTACATTTGATTTTTTTAATGAATTTTTACTTTATTTTTAGGTGAGTTTTGTATTTTTAGAAAAATAGGACAGCACAGAGTATTCTCATAAATGTTGCTTCTTGTTTCCCTTTTTGTTAACACCTCATATTAACATGACACATTCATTGTAATTAGGGAGCCAATATTGTTACAAGAAAAATTTGTAGTTGATCAAGATTGCCTTAGTTTTCCCCAGTCACCTTTTTTGTTTTTTGTTTCAAGATTCTTTCTAGGATATTATACCATCTTTACTTGTCATGTCCCTTTTGGTTCTTCTTAGCTGTTAAGAGCTATAGAATTTTTTTGTTTTTGATTATCTTGACAATTTTGAGGATTATGGGTAAGGTGGTAATAGGACATTCCACTATTGAAATATGATGGTTTCTTATGAACACAAAAATGAAATTCCATTTTCATCAAACAGAGATATGAACTCAGGATTGGTTGGTAAACCTAACAGTCATACTGTCCTGGGGATTTAGCTAACTTTGTGCTATGCATTAATAGATTATTTGTAATTGGTGTATAATGTTTTATAACAAATTATCTATTATTAATTATCCTTTATTCCACTGAAGGCCATGGTGGTCACTTTTAGGAATGGTTAATTAGGAATAAGCCTGCTATATAGATTAGTGTATAGACTTCTGTGCACAGAGGTTTTAAAACAGTTAGGTAAATATCTAGGTGTTAAATTTCTGTATCATCTGATTTATTATTATTAGTAGTAGTACTAGTAGTAGAAGTAATGTAGTAGGAACTGTCAAAATGTCTCCCAAAGAGGCATTAACATTTCTTTAGAGGGTAGTTTGAAAATGTTTTATTTTGAAAATATTTATTTTAAAAATATGAAGTATTTGTCTTTCCTATTGTACAGTAGTAATATCACATATAAGGGTGATAAAAATCTTATAGGTTATTATACAGAAAAAGAAAATGTTTGCTTAAAAATGTAAGATTTTTGTAAATTTTAAATTTACCCTTACTAGTTGATTTTATCTACAATGTCTAAGGAATATCCTACTTTGGACAAACTGGCAGGCTACCGAATGTAGCCTGCCCACACGGCAGAGTCTGGCAAACTCCCCGTGGCGTACCCAATATGCCAAATACCAGTAACAGTGATGGGTCTCATTCTCCTAAAGAGCCTTGAATATAATCTCAGGGCTAGGATGAAGGAGACGTTACTGGGGCCTGCTCGAGGCAATCAACTAATAACAGGATGATTTGTGATTTGTGTCTAAGGAAAACATTTTTTCCTATCATTTTCTTTCTTTAATATGAAAATATTAGTCTAAGCTTAATGGTCTGAACAGGTAAACCAAAAGCATGGTAATTGAAACAAGTATAACAGAACACATGTCTAGGTAAGTCTTTGGTTAACTATAGTAAGTATGAAATAGCATATATTGACTATGTTCATAGTAAATTGCACATGCCTAGTGTGTGTGAGATCCGATGTTCACTCTTAGAACCAGGCACTCACACAAATATCAAGTATCTTCAGAAGATGTTTCTGATTTCCCCCCATTTTTTTTTGATGGCACATCGCCCATGTAATTTGACACATGAGTGGCAGAATTTTTATTATATTAGTAAAGTAAAACTTATGACTTTATTAAGAACACGTACTACTAGGCACTAGTGAAAAACTTAAAAACATGTTTTCATGCTATATAAATGCAAGAGGGACATACTGAGGGAAAATAAACTTAAGAGATTTGGGTTCATCATGGTTCAATATGAAATAAGATATACATTTAAAATAAATTTTTAGCAAAATGTTTCTGTAGTGTTTATAGCTAGATACTTCTAGGTATTTAAACCTCTTAGATATTTAATCTTTTCAAAACTCAATTTCTTTGTAAATAAAATGAACCTAAGTTGATGACCACTTTTCAAAGTTCTGTATGGAATATTCAAAATTGTAAATGAAGACTATATAGGTCCAAGATTAATACAGAGTAAGATCTCAATAAATGTTAATTCTCTTTTCTCCAGATTACTTTGAATAATTCTAATAAGAAACAGTTACAGAGAATAAAACATTCATTTAAAAAATTATAGTAGTTTATCAAGTTTGCATCAAATTTTTTAAAGAAATGACTCATTATGGGAACACTTAAAGTTCCCAGTGACCCAGACAATATTTGTACTTTTCCCAGAAATAACTCAATCTTATTTATCACGAGCATTCTAAATATATATCATTCATCATATAATTGTTTTAATTATGTGTCATGTGAATAACAAGTAATGAAGTATATAGGTATAGATCTAATGTTGTTGTAAATAACCTTTTTATTATGATTTTTACTCATAAATTGCATGAATTTAAAATTAAATCGATCTTCTCATATAGATTGGGAATTGTCTAAGCATGTTAAGTTGTTCATATTTTCCCCACTGATTTGTAATGTTATGTGGATCCTAATTCAAATGTGTGGATGCTTGTTTTTTAAATTCTTTTCTATTTCTCTTGTTTCACAATATAGTCATATGTCAGTACCAGATTGTCTGGATCAAAAGAGCTTTATAGTAAACTTGATTTGTATAAGGTAATCTATTCCCATAATAAATTAGGGGTAATTATTGGAATTTTAATCTTCCATATTCATTAGAATATGATTATATACATATTATACATTTCAGACAGTAAAAAGTATCAAGAATTAAGTTATTTTGTTCATGGTACAAATTAATTGCTCATGAAATAATAGCATAACTTGTGTAGAATTGGCTTTGTAATAATACCATGTCCTCTAATATATGTATATTGTATATATTGGTGCATTTCATCAAATAGACGCACAGCCAGATTCTTGGTAAGGCAGCAAGATATATTTCCCAAGTAACTGTTACTATTTCAACTGCTAATTCATTGACTAGAAATAGTCTTATAATCTCATCTATCAGTGAAGCTCAGTGTAGTATAAATCTCTCTGGAGCACAGCTGTAGAGGAATATTCAATAGAATAAGAACTAGAAGCCTCTTAAAATAAGAAAGATCATTCCCTAAAATTTAGTAACTTCTTTACTTTTACATTAGTTCTCTCTGTCCGATCTCATCAGTTTCTTTGACTTAATTTAGATTACATCGAGTACCATGAACAAAATGACTTAATTCAGAATACTTTTTAAATTTGCTTTCCCTTCATTTTCCTACCTTTTCAATCTTTATTTTTTCATCTTTACTTTTGTCTCTTCACATTGTTCCCCTCTCTTGTCTATGCATAAATATTAGCAGCAACTATAGTAATATTCACCAGAGGTTAATGGTGATTTATGAATGTAAAGATTTTGTTATTATTCCTTATTTTATTTCTTCTTTTTAGTAGTAGAATTTATTTTTACAAAAATTCACTTAAAAAGACATGACGATACTAGGTACAATTTGAACATATTGAAGGAAATTATCACAAATTATCACAACAAGCTCCCGGGAGAGCACAAGGCAGAGTCTCCTACCCTGTGTCTGACTATCCTCGCCAGGGCCCAACAGCTGAAGACCTCCAGGTCCCAACCAAGGCCTTACTGGGGCCACTCTCCACACACTTGGATAAGCCTCAGACATAACAGAACTGGCAGAGGAACCCAGGTGTGTGGGACCCGGGGCTGAGATCTCCAAGCCTGCACGGTTTGGGACTGGACCTGTCAGTAGCTAGACAGTTACACCCTCCAACTGCCGTGTAACCCCAACAACGGCCAGGATCCAGAGATTATCACAACAAGCTCCCGGGAGCACGACTATTTATTTACTTTTCTCTAAGTTTTCAGGGTACCTTAAATATCCAACCCACACGGCAGAGCCTGGCAAGCTATCCGTGGTCTATGCCAAATAGACCAAATTGATATGCCAAATCCAGTAATAAATGGATCTCATTTCCCTAACCCTGAATATGCAGATTCGAGAAGGATATGGAAGGAGAGGCTGATAAAACACCAAGGCAGACATAGGCTGCCAAAACGCAGAAAAACAAAAATGATTTTCTGTACTTTTAATGCTCGTACGCTGGCATCTGCTGCATCCATTGAAGACCTTATGGTACAAGCGCGAAAGATCAAGTACGACATCATTGGTCTGACCGAAACGAGAAGACATCAATCCCATCATGCTGTTTTCGACACTGGAGAAGAACTGTTCCTTGGAACATGTGATAAAAGAGGCGTCGGTGGTGTTGGTATCCTTGTCAACACAAACTTAGTCACGAGCATTGATTCATTCGAATGCCTAACAACCCGAATCGGACGATTACACTTGAATAAATGTGGCTCACTACCGGCAGTTTCTATCTTTGTTGTCTATGCACCAACATCCAGTTATGGTGAAAGAGAAACTGAG